GGACTCAGTTTGCACTATTTCTGGCAACCCCCCTAAGACCCATTGAAAGATTTCTTTTCTATGAATGTGTTCAGCACTTAAAAAAAAAGCATAGTGCCATACTAGCCTAGTCAATGTGGTGCTTGTGGGAGACTTCTTTCTTTCTTTCTTTCTTTCTTTCTTTCTTTCTTTCTTTCCTTTTGTTCTTCCTCCCCTGCCGCCCCAGCCTGGCCACATCATCCATGACTCCCTGCTTGGCTGTAGTGGCTATCTCCACCTGGAGGACTTGGTGGGTTGGCCAGTTTATTGGGTGTGTGTGTAATAAGGATGCTGGGTGGGACACAGTGTGGCTGAGGCAGTGTGGCATAGTGGTTTGAGTGTTGGACTATGACTCTGGAAACCAGGGTTCAAGTCCCACTTCAGCCATGAAACCCACTGGATGACCTTGGGTGAATCACACTCTCTCATCCTCAGGGGGAAGGCAATAGCAAACCTCCTCTGGACAAATCTTGCCAAGAAAACCCCAAGATAGGGTCTCCTTGGGGTCACCATAAGTCAAAGTGACTTGAAGGCACACAACAACACCAATCAGAGTCAATGGCTAATGTGTACCAGCACATCATGGAGTAGCTAATGCCATAAGATCACAGATTTTTATACATTTCTGGAGAGAAAGTAACTTCTGTAGTTAAATCATTGCACTTGAAGAAGATGAGAATTTTGCAATGCTAACATAACACAAAGGTAGCCTGTGGTCTGATTGAGTTCCTCTCAAACCACAAATCATTGATGTAGCATATGAAAGAACTAGCATAAGGAATCTGATTCTAATATACCACAGTCTCAAATACAATGAAAGTTAATTGAAACTACAGGTGATGTGTATAGATTGACAATTACTTGGTGAGACAAAATAGCTTTAGAAGCTGGTTATTTTAGGGGTGAGGTGCAGCATAGCTGGTTGCAAGGCAATGGGTCTAGCACAGTTGTGTTTAATGGGAGGGCGATCCTGGTGAGAGGGGGGATTTTAAAAAGCAGAGTTCAGTTGTGACAGTTTGTCTAGTCTAGTCTGTCTGGTCTGCTTGGTAGTTTTATGAAGAAAGAGGGAAAAAAGAGTTGAGGTAGTTGCAGAGCTAACACAAAGATGCCTGTCTAAAGGAAAGGAGTTAGTTGAAGAGTGGCTAAAGCCTGTCAAGTGTTTGATTTTAATGTAACCATACTGAGCATACTGAGCTTGAAGTTAACTCACACGAGATACTTTATTTCGGTATGTTTCTCAATAAAAGTTACTGTTTGTTGACTCCTGACTGAATTGATTGTTAGAAACTGGAAAGAAGAAAATACATGCTACCTAAAATATTAAAACCAGTCTATGGAGACATGTGGGACCCTAGCCCTTATACACTTAAGGATAGTGTTAAAAGGGTGAAAGTAGAGTTAGGTGTTTGATTGAGTTGGAAGGTGGTCTGAAAGGAAGTCTCATCACACATGGGTGTCAGCTCAAATTCAATCAGCAGGACTTTCTTATGAAATAACATGCACAACTCATTGAAAGTAATGCACTAAAGTGCATGGTTAGATGCAGCACTGAAGTCAATTACTCATAGGAACATTTTATACTGGGGTGGGCAACTGTGATGGGGGCCACATTTCACCACCTTCTCCCATGTGTGTGTGTGTGTGTGTGTGTGTGTGTATAGCATCCCAAACTCGGCCTAAATCTGCCAATTCCACTTTCAGAAGTGACCAAAAGTCACTTCTAGTTTTAATTTCCAGGTATTTCAGTGAGTATTTGGGGGTGGTGTAGAGTTAAGTGGAATAATCAATGACTTCTACAGTATAAATTTACCCTTTGGGAGAAATTCCTCACCCAAAATATTTTTAAAACGTTGCCCCAGGAATTTTCTCCTAGCACATTTCAAACCCAAATGATTTTTTGTCCCTTACATGGCCTAATGATTGAGAAATAGTGGACTCTCACTCTAAAAGTAGTGCTTTGCCCTTGTTTATATCATACCCCCAGCAAAAAATGTCCTTTTCAGAAACTAGAAGCAACAACTGGGAGTTACTTTTGTTTGTTATTTTGGCCACTGCAGGGAGATGATAATGATGATGATTATGATAACCATTTCCTTCCACTAACCTGTGAATGTTGAAGCTGATGAATGAGAAAGCATTTATACATTCAGCTGTCGGTGAGTGGAGGGGGGAAGGTAATCTTAAAAGCACTTTTTAATAATAAATTAATATCAGCTTTCTAATCTGAAATGGCAGAGTCCAGGGGGGAAATATTCTACTGATTATATGAACAAGAACTTATAATTATACTTTGCATTCTGCCCTCTGTCTCTTCTTATTTTAAAATATTTATTAATTTTTAAAAGGTCTTTGGATATCGTCATTCAGTGATATTCCCAAAGGTGGTTTATATAAAAGAAAAGAACAATGAAGAGGTGTATAAAAGCAAAACATCTTCAACTAAAATGCCACAACTAAGAAAAGGAACAAAATTGTCAGCAATTTTTTTAAAAAACTGTCATACCATTGATTGCACAGTCACTTTACACACACACTTTGCCTGTGCAATAAAAACTACATTACAGACTATGCTTATGGTATCTCAGAAAAAGCAACAGGCCTTGAGCTAGCACAATGGTGTAACTGGTAACATATCACTGTCTTCATTTGGTACTGAAAAGAAAATAAAGCAAGTGCTGAGCAAATTTCTTTATGAACAACATTTCACCACTGTGGCACCACCACTAAGATGGCCCTGTCTGTGACTGCCTCCTTTCTCACTTCAGATGGCAAGGACACCCTCAGGAGGCCTTCCACAGAAGACCTTTATGTATGGATTGATACATATGGAAACAGTCTTGTGCAAGTATCCACTTGAACACATGAGTGCTTCACACTATTGGAAACATGAGGGTGCACATTCTGCCCTAATTCCCCAACATCCCTGTCCCTGTCATCTCCATCCATGACCTGCACACTTGAATGTGGGTAGAGGCATCTTCGTATCTGAGAAGTCTGATAACTCAGATTATTTCTCATATATATCAGCCATAAAAACTTCTATCACTCAAAAAGATTACAAGATTTACAGCTTCAAATGGGATGAAATGAGAAGTGTTTGTACTGGAAAAGTCTCTGTGAAGGAAAGGAAAGGGAAAGCTGTCATGTCCAGCTTTTAGCAGGGATTAGAAGGGGGGAAGCCAGACAAGGATGTGTCCCTTTAATATTCAAAATATTCTGTAAGATACCAGCCCTGGGATAATCATGTTAACTTTACATTTTTAATACCAAATCTTTTGTTCCGGACCTAGCACCAGCCGTCTGCCTTTCTTGTTTACCTAACTAAATGTGTGAGATGAGAGCATCAGACATGAGGAAGTCATGTGGGATACAGTAAACAACCAACAGATGGATGCTATTTATTTTGTTTTGGAGGCTTTTCATAATTTTTCATAAGTTCCAATAGTCGTTTTGCTTATAGGCTCACTCAGAAGCAATTTACACGCACACACCCTCTGTGCTTATTTCCAAAATTCTAGTGTGCATGAGGCATCTGTTGTTGGAAGCCACTGGAATTTATTGTACTGGCACAGTGGTTTCCAGACGGTGTTCCAAGGGACCCCAGAGTGTTTCTGAAGCTTGGCCAAGGTCCCTGAAAGAAAAAAAAAACCCATAACAATGGGGCAACTTTGCTGAAAGACAGCATGTTCTTAACATTGATTGAAGATTGATTGATTGATGGCTTGCACTTATATCCTACCTTTCTCCCTAAATGGGATCCACTACTGATCACTCTGTATGATGCACACATAAGAAGTGGTGTGTGTTTGTGTTCTTTAGCAAATCTTCAGTTCTTGGACAGTGATAGTCTCAGTCAAAATTGATATGACATGGGATAGTTATAGTGGGTGGCTCAGTGGCTTCACTAGGGTTGATGTCGCCCAGTGCAGTAACTCATGGCTTCACCCTCACCATAACTATGCTTAAATAAATAGGAGCATCAACAACCTAAGATATGCAGATAACAATACTACTAGCAGAAACCAACAAAGACCTGGAACAATTGTTGAAGAGGGTCAAGGAGAAAAGTGCCAAGATAGGCTTGATGTTTAACATCAAGAAAACAAGAATAATGACAATGGAAGATCTACAAGAATTCATCCTAGGTAATGGGAGAACTGAAAACTGAAAATGAATGCCCATTTGTTATCAATTTCAATCCATGTGCCCTATGGATGAGACATCTCCAAGACCCTCTGTCCTCCATGCTCTATTTAATAACTGCAGCCCCTTAATACCCATGACCTCCTTAACAGAGTCCATCCATCTGACATGTGGCCTTCCTCTCTTTCTGCTTCTCTCCACCTTTCCCAGCATTGATGTCTTTTCCAATGAGTCCTTCCTTCTCATAGGACCTTATCACATGCTGGCCACGAAGCGAAAAGTAACCGAAATAAGAATAAATTCAGTTCTATACCGAAATGAATTGAATTTCACCTGTGCGGCCATTGCGCAATGATTCTGAAAGCTCCCTTGTACTTCCCTGAAAAACCGAATGTCAAAAGATCTCAATTCGTTACGGATTAGCTCCAGGTTCTGTCGAGTTTCGGTGCAACGTCGTGTGTAAACACGGAGAAACAATACAGATTAGCTCCGGGTTCTGTCAAGTTTCGGTGTAACGTCATGTGTAAACACGGGGAAATAATATGTATTAGCTACGGATACACTTTGGATTAGGTCTGCTTTAGACCCCGTGTGATAAGGTCCATAGTGTGTCCAAAGTATGATGGCCTCAGTTTTGTCATCTTGGCTTCCAGGGAGGTTTCTGGTTTGATCTGCTCTATGACTCATTTGTTGGTCTTTTTGGCTGCCCATGGGATCCTTAGCACTCTTCTCGAGCACCACCTCTCAAATGCATTTTCTTCCTATCATTTTTCTTAACTGTTCAACTCTCACATCCGTACATGGTAATAGTGAATATGATGGCTTGTCTGATTCTAACTTTTGATCTGAGTTGTATATCTTTGCATTTTAGAATCTTTTCTAGTTCATTCATAGCCACCCTCCCCATTCTTAATCTTCTTTTGATTTCCCGACTGCAGTCCCCATTTCTATCAATGTTTGATCCCAGGTATGGGAATTCTTTTACTATTTCTATTTCTTCATTGTCTAGGTTGAACTTGTGAAGGTCCTCAGTGGTATTTTTTTTTTAAATGTTCAACAGTAAGCCTGTCTTTGACTTTCTTCCTTGATCTTTCTTAGTAGTTGTTCCAGGTCTTTTAGGTTTTCTGCTTGTACTATGGTATCATCTGCATATCTTAGATTGTTGGTATTCCTTCCTCCTATATTCACTCCTCCTTCTTCTGTGTTCAAGCCTGCTTTTCTTATAATATGTTCTGCATACAAGT